AAACACAAAATATATGCCACAAACACAAATGTGCATATAAATACACAAATACCAATATAATTTTATATACATATTTGTTCATCTATTTACAAAACTTTTCAGGCCAAATAAAATTATAGTGTTTAATCATCAAGATATGCTTATCATTTTACATTAATATAGGGAGACATCTCTCTTTTTTTAAAGTAACTGCATAAAAGAGAGTTCTTTCTCTTGCCACAGAAGCATTTCAGAGGTTCTCAGTTCGGCCACAGGAACTTGTCCTTTCATCCTGTCACAAAACTGTCTGAAAGGAGAAAGGAATCCTTACAGATGACCTTGGTATTATATGGGGTGAGAAAAGTGAAATAAAAAAAAAAAAAGAGAGAGAGAGTATAAAAGCAGCACATTCAGAAGATACTTAAGAACTAAGATGTTAGTAAGTCAAGGCCAATCATGACATTTATTAAGGTTTGAATTAGAAAGGAGGTCAAAGGGAATGATATTGTAGCAATCAAGATAATGCTTCCTTATAAGAATAAAGGGATATGAGAATGAGGTTGGTTGTTAATTATTTTCTTTGATTAGGTTACCAATTCCTCCCATACACATTTAAAAATTAATCAGAGATTTGCTTTAGTGCAGTATTATTCAAAAGGGTAAAATGAGGGAAGAGTTCAAGTACAAGATAAACAACCACAAAATGGAAGATAAGAGTTCCCTGCTTATTAAACCTAACATTTAATAATTACAAAAGTTGCCTATGAATTCCATGATAGATTTCATTCTTGTTATCTTATAAACTAAATTCTTGTGTTTCTGAAATCACTTTATTAGCTGCTCGACTGAACTTTCAAAGTAGATTCTTAAAATCGCTAAATCGTGTACTCTTCAGACATATCATTATCTATCTAGTTTCCAATACACTAGGAGATTGGTATGCAGTGCTAGAAACAAAAAGTAGGATCTGCTATAACACACACCTGCTGCTAAATTACTTATATAATCATTCTAAAAAGCATACCTGGGTTTCAAAAATGGAGAACATGTTTATTTTCATTACGAAAGAAAAATTCAATAAATTAATCAATTTTAAAGTTCGATTTCACTTCTAAGAATCTTAAACTCTGGGGGATGTATCTTCCTAATTTAAAAAAAATTAATTAAGGTGCACTGTGTTAGTTATTACAAACAGGGTGTCAAGGGTCATTCCACTTAAATCACTGAGTAGTAACCAGAGTTAATCATTCAAAGTTTGTATGTCTACAAAATACTTAAAATGTAACTGATAGTTAAATGGATTCATCCCATTCTTTCTCAGACAACCTTTAAACTAAATTAAAAAGTGGCTAGAACTCTCCAATATGTGTGTTTGTGACCTTTGTGTAATGTACTTTTTCCGAGTCTTGCGTTATAAAGTTTGCTATATGACTATCTTTAACATAAAGCAATTATGTTTGCTTATGAATGATAGGACAGTGAAACTGAGGCAAAAATACTGAAACATAAACATTATTACATGTTTTGTTTTCAATCTGTTCATGTTTTAGTGAACTAATGGAATTTCAAAACATTCCGGCTTTGTGCCCCAAATTTTTAAAATCTTTCTACTGCTTCTCTTGTTCTGAAAAAAAAGGGTTACAAAATGAAGTAGAGACAAGCCAACTCATGGTAACTTGACAACCCCAAGTTCATTTGCATATTCCAAAGGTGTACTTGGAAGATGGACATGCACAGTGTAGATGAATCAGGAAGTCACACCTAGTGAGGAGCTCAGAGACATCTCTAATGCTTCATTTTGTGGTTGAGGAAACAAAGAAATTAAATGGCTTGTCAAAGGTCCACGAACAAGTTAGCAGAAAAGTGGGCTTGACAAATCATTAACATCAAATATTTGGCTGGTAAAATCAGTGGCTGCACTCAAAAACTAACACATTTTCAGAAAATGTCAGTATTGAAAAACAGGGACCACCTTCTCTCTAAATCCTAATAAATTATACACAAAATCATGACAGTTAAGAGTTGAGTACATGGGCCGGCACCGCAGCTCACTAGGCTAATCCTTCACCTTGCGGTGCCGGCACACTGGGTTCTAGTCCTGGTCGGGGCGCCGGACTCTGTCCCGGTTGCCCCTCTTCCAGGCCAGCTCTCTGCTGTGGCCCGGGAATGCAGTGGAGGATGGCCCAAGTGCTTGGACCCTGCACCCCATGGGAGACCAGGATAAGTACCTGGCTCCTGCCATCGGATCAGCACGGTGCAACGGCCGCAGCGCGCCGGCCGCGGCAGCCATTGGAGGGTGAACCAATGGCAAAGGAAGACCTTTCTCTCTGTCTCTCTCTCTCACTGTCCACTCTGCCTGTCAAAAAAATAAATAAATAAAATAAAATAAATATTTTATAAAATAAAATAAAATAAAATAAAAAAGAGTTGAGTACACCACAGGTTCTGGTGAAAAGTTTTATGATCAGCTACATTAGTAAGTGAAATTAAGAGCTATCAATTCTCTTTTCTACTCTTGTACCACCAAATACAGTTGGTGTAAGTCAAAAGTAAATTACAGAGTCAGACAGATAAAAGGCTTAAACTAACTTTCATAATTTGCAATACACTACATAAACTCATGGAATTATTTGAAAAAAGTAGTGAGATATCATTTTAATTTGGAATGCAAACATCAAGTCCCTAATATATAAGTTGTCATCAACAAAATATAAATATATAATGTATACAAAGAAAAGTATAAACAGAAAACCAACATATAGGAAAATGTGTAAATTTGGAAATAATTATGGTACATTATACTCCAAATATAACTATACTTTTAGAAAACTCATTTATTTTGTAAATGACATTATACACAGTAGATAGCTGCCATCACTCACGCAAAACTGATCACAATGTAAGTTGCCTCCCTACCAAACATACAATGTATGTACAGAGATCCAAAGCCATAAAAAGCATTCATAACTTTTGGCTTAGTACTCCCAGTTCTAAGAATTTGTCTTTCTTGAGCTTTAGTGACCAGAACTATATTTGATGTTTTAAAGGCAGAAGGATGGTAGTTAAAAAAACAGTGTAAGGTTATATTCTGTTTTCTTTTCTGATCTTGCCCATAATTTTATTGGCTTTTAGGATTATGGTGGCAACTTAGACTTATGTATTCTGAAAATAGTATGCAATAATTCTTAGGCCTATATTTTACCTGAACTTCCTATTTACTCACTTTAAACTAGTTTCCATCCACAACAAAAGTATGTGGCTGTGAGCACGTGATTTTCCCATACAGGCATACTCCCACTGGCACTCCCAGAGTTGTCAGCAATTCTCAACACTGACTATAAGTAACTCCACCTCTCTCCGTGCTCAAAAAAAAATCATTTCGTAATTACAGACAGTGAGAGAGTTTTTATGGGTACAACACTGATTCAGCCCTAATATGGAAGAAGCAATCCTCCAACTTCAATAAAGTGTTATACAAGTAATCAATTACTCATAACATAAACAGCAATGTACACTAGCTTGTCAAGACACCAAGGATTAGGTTTGATATAGACCAGGAGCCATTGCAAGAATGTCTTTAAACGCTTCTTATTACAAGTCAAAAATGCTGTACATCCAATCACCTTATACAACCACGGTGACTATGAGTAATTAAATAACATATGTGATTGAGTAAATGATTATGCCAAATACTGTGTTACTTTACTTGATTTATCTTATTTAATTCTTAAAATAGCATATTTTTTTGACAGGCAGAGTGGACAGTGTGAGAGAGAGACAGAGAGAAAGGTCTTCATTTTCCGTTGGTTCACCCCCTCAATGGCCGCTTCGGCCAGCGTGCTGCAGCCAGCGCATCGCACTGATCCGAAGGCAGGAGCCAGGTGCTTCTCCTGGTCTCCCATGCAGGTGCAGGGCCCAAGGACTTGGGCCATCCTCCACTGCATTCCCGGGCCACAGCAGAGAGCTGGCCTGGAAGAGGGGCAACCGGGACAGAATCTAGTGCCCCGACCGGGACTAGAACCTGGGGTGCCGGCGCCGCAGGCGGAGGATTAGCCTATTGAGCCTGGGCGCTGGCCGGTGACCACCATTTTTGTCTTTATTTTTGACAGAAGAATCTGTGACTTACAGGGTTTAAGCAATTGTTCGGGAAGTAATAAACAACAAAACCAAAAACAAATACAGGGCCACCTAATGTCAAATTCTGTCTTCTTAATTAGTGCTTCCTTTTGCACAGGAAGCTTCTTTAAATATTTGAGGATTATTTGTCTAAGGAATCACAATATGAAAAGTTGTCTTTTCCAGAAGGTTTCCATTACTACACACAGACACACACACATACACACCCCACATTTTAACAGTAATACCCATTACCCACCTCAACCACTCCCTGAAAATCAGTTATCTATGTTTTCCCTATAAGCTTTTCCCTTCTAAACATTTCATGTTAATGAGATAGCATACTGTTTTATGTTCATGTGTGAGTCTTGCTTCTTTCTTATAGCATTATGTTTTCAGGGCTCATTCACAGTATAGCATTTACTGACACTTCACTTTGTATGGCTAAATAATATTATTTCTATGGATATACCCCTGCTTTATTTATCCATTCATCAGTTAGTAGAAATCTGGATTGTCTCAACTTTGTTTTTTTAATGAGTAATTCTTCTATGAATATAATTTTCTAATTTTTCCTATGAAAATATATTATAAATTCTCTTATATCCATATTTTGCACATAAATTATTGGATCATTCATATGGCAACTCTAGATTTAACTTTTTAAGAAATTGCCAAACATTTTCCTAAAGGGGCTGCACAAGTTTACATTCTGGCTAACAATATATGATTTCAGTTCCTTCATATCTTCACCAACACTTGTTATTTTCTTTCTCTTTTATTACAGCCATCATGGTGGGTATGAAGTATTATTTAATTGTTGCTTTAAATTGTATTTCTTTAATGATTAATGATGAAGACCATCTTTTCATGTGCTAAATGATCATTTGTTTATCTTCTCTTAGAAACATCTATTCAAATCCTTTGCCTGTTTTAACTGGAGTATGTATCATATTATCATATTATTGTGGCACTGTAAGTATTAATTGTATATTATAAATACTAGCACTTTATTAGGGATAGGATTTATAGATATTATCTCCCATACTATGAGTTGTCTCTTCACTTTGCTGATAATGTCCTTCAAAGCACAATGGCTTTCTTTTTAATTTATTTTTTTATTTTTGACAGGCAGAGTGGACAGTGAGAGAGAGAGACAGAGAGAAAGGTCTTCTTTTGCCGTTGGTTCACCCTCCAATGGCTGCCGTGGCCAGCACTGCGCTGATCCGATGGCAGGAGCCAGGTACTTATCCTGGTCTCCCATGGGGTGAAGGGCCCAAGTACTTGGGCCATCCTCCACTGCACTCCCTGACCACAGCAGAGAGCTGGCCTGGAAGAGGGGCAACCGGGACAGAATCCGGCGCCCCGACCGGGACTAGAACCCAGTGTGCCGGCACCACAAGGCGGAGGATTAACCTACTGAGCTGCGGCGCTAGCCCACAATGGCTTTTAAATTTGGTGAAGTCTACTTTATTTTTTGTTTTAATGTTTGTGCTTTTAGTATCATATCTAGGAATCCACTACCTAATTAAAGTTTATAAAAAAGTAAAGCAATGTTTTTTTCTAAAAGTTTGACGATCTTAGCTGTCATATATGTCACTGATATCATTAGTTAACTTTTCAATTTCATTATTTCATGTGTAGGTTTGCAATTGTCTATTTTTGTTTAAAGAGACTATCATTCTCCTCACTGAATTGTATTGGTGCCCTGGTCAAAATCAATTGATTATAAATGCATGAGTTTATTACTTATCTTTCAACTCAACTCTATTGATCTCTGTATCTATTCTTATGTCAGTAATATAAAGTCTCAATTACTGTTGCGTTGTATTGGGTTTTGCATCAGTAAGTGTGTCTTTAAAGGTGGGATTAGTTGTTCTGTTTTTCCTATTTTGGGTTTCTTACAATTCCTTATGGACTTCTAGTATTCGTCTGCCAAGTTCTTCAGAAAAAAAAAAGTGGGAATATTGTTAGGACTGTGTTGAATTTGTTGATGAATTTAGGGAATACTGCCATCTTAACACTATGAAAACTCTCAGTCCATGATCATAGAATTTCTTTCCATTTACTTAGGTGTTCTTCAATTTGTTTCAATCGTGTTTCATAGTTTTTAGCATACAAATCTTATACTTATTCTGTTAAACTTACTCATTGGTATTGTTTCAATGCTATTGTTAATGGAATTGTTTTCTTAATTTTATTTTCAAAATTTCCATTATTAATGTATAGAAATAAGACTTATTTTTACATAGTGACTAAAAATAATTTGCAATATATGATTCTTTTAGAGAAATCTGATTTTATATGGTAATGGAGCAAAGATGTATTCATCTCTTGCATGAAACATGTCTTTTTTGTGCTGTCTACTGATAATGGATTCTATGGTGAAACTTGAAACTACACGGTTCCCAAATATCATAGTATTTGCCTGAAGATGGGTCTTCGAGGTTTCTTTTTAAATTTCCAATTGACTTGTTATTAATATATATGCTCCATTATAACAATCTTACATTGCATTTTTATGAAGTGTTTGTAAATTTCCTTGAAAAATGTTATAACTGAAAATCAAGACCACAGAATAGTATTCAATACAATTTAAATTTAGTTTATAAACTGACAACATATCATAAGAATTTTCTTATAATTAAAAATAAACACAAAAGTATCTGAAGAAATTATTTCAGTACTTTGAAGAAAATTGGGATATCTACAAAAGGTCAAGGAGCAACCAAGAAGTAAATAATTTAATAATAGGGATGAAGATAAACTAATGATTTTCTGTCTTAAATTTACATTAATGTACCACTTTTCTTTTTTTCTTTTTATGTTTTTTTTTTTTTTTTTTTGACAGGCAGAGTGGACAGTGAGAGAGAGAGACAGAGAGAAAGGTCTTCCTTTGCCGTTGGTTCACCCTCCAATGGCCGCCGCGGCCGGCGCGCTGCGGCCGGCGCACCGCGCTGATCCAATGGCAGGAGCCAGGAGCCAGGTGCTTCTCCTGGTCTCCCATGCGGGTGCAGGGCCCAAGCACCTGGGCCATCCTCCACTGCACTCCCTGGCCACAGCAGAGGGCTGGCCTGGAAGAGGGGCAACCGGGACAGAATCCGGCGCCCCGACCGGGACTAGAACCCGGTGTGCCGGCGCCGCTAGGCGGAGGATTAGCCTAGTGAGCCACGGCGCCGGCCCTATGTTTTTTTAATCTATAAATTTTATATTTAAGGTAGTCAAACTTTGTGTATTTCATATATACAAATATATAAACATGGTAATTTAATATATTACTTTTCAATAGCCACATGAAATAATGTTACTTTTCTTTTTTTTTAATTTGACAGGTAGAGTTACAGACAGTGAGAGAGAGAGACAGAGAGAAAGGTCCTCCCTCCGCTGGTTCACCCCCCAAATGGCCGCTACGGCTGGAGCTACGCCAATCCGAAGCCAGGAGCCAGGTCCTTCCTCCTGGTCTCCCATGCGGGTGCAGGGCCCAAGCCATCCTCCACTGTCTTCCTGGGCCACAGCAGAGAGCTGGACTGAAAGAGGAGCAACCGGGACTAGAACCTGGAGCCCATATGGGATGCTGGCGCCACAGACGGAGGATTAACCAATTGAGCCATGGCGCCAGCCCATAATGTTGCTTTTTCTCACTGGTTATTTATTAGATGTGTTATGAATTTATACTTCATGTGAATTTATACAATTTATACTTCTTTTAATTCCTCTACTACAACAGCTCACTCCTGGTCTCTATTATGTCTGACAAATAAAACTTCTTTCTATAAAGAACCAAATATGATACCTTGTGCCTGATGGAATTCAATGTGCTTTAATAACACAAAAAAAATGCTTTCCTGCCAAGACTGTATTTTAACATAGCCACCCTATGAAGCTAAGAAATTCTGGATGATGTTAAAAGTGGTTCAAATATAAATATACAGCCTTGTTTCATTCTCAATCATTATATCTCTTTATTTATATGCTCAGCCAAATTTAATGAAGAGCAAGAAACAAGCTGTGGACTCCATGTAACCAGGATTTTCAGAATCATAACTAAATGGAACTCAGGAAGTACGTACTCTTTGCAACAAATTTTGCATTTCTTTTAAATCTAGTATACATGGCTGGTTTTGATTTTCCCCAAAATTGAAGTTATTATTGCCTTAGAAGTTTATACTGATCATCTGAGACATAGCAAAAATCATTCTTTGCTTATTTTACTGCCATTTACACAGAAGCAATACGTGTGAGTATATGATGCTGCTGCTTTGCAGTATCATTTCCACATGTGACATTGCTTTGCATTTTTATATCTATTTCCCAGTTTTCTGGTTATAATATTCGTCCTGTTAATTTTCAAAGAATAAAAAAAGTGTTATAGATCTCTTTCACGACAATGAGTTAATATATTTTTGAACTTTGCAGAAGATTTTCTATTTATGAATTAAATGAAAATAGCAGGTGCAAGATTCTTTGAAACTGGTAATACTTGAGAGACATCCCCTTTGAATATTACAGTATTGATAATTCTGATACAAGGCATCCAAAATAACTAGAAAACTAAAAATATCAAACTCTTGCATGATTTGCTAAGTGTTGAAGGCTGTGTGAGACACAAACCAAAAATTTCCAGTGCCGTGAAAACAAGTAACATTCATAGAGTGGAAAAGAAACCATAATATTGACATTCAGGAAGCTACTAGAACGCTGCCAGTAGGTGTCAGATAGAGTTCACGACAAGAAGAGAACAAAGAATAACAGGGATCCGAATACTATTTTATATATATATATATATATTTTTTTTTTTAAAGATTTATTTATTTGACAGGTAGAAATTCAGACAGTGAGAGAGAAAGAGAGATTGGTCTTCCTTCCATTGGTTCACCCCCAAAATGGCCGCTGTGGCCTAAGCTACGCTGATCCGAAGCCAGGAGCCAGGTGCTTCTCCCTGGTCTCCCATGCAGGTGCAGAGAACCAAGAGCCTGGGCCATATTCTACTGCTTTCCCAGGCCATAGCAGAAAGCTGGACTGGAAGAGGAGCAACCCCGGGACTAGAACTGGCGCCCATATGGGATGCCGACACCACAGGCGGAGAATTAACCTAGTGCGCCATGGCACTGGCCCCCCCAAAAATAATCACTTAGCTGTAAGAAGTAAATTTTAATGTATTTTTTGTTTTATCTTTTGATAATATTATGTATCTTCTAAATTCTTTGCACACTACTTGTAATTTTAAAACCGTATTTGAATGTAAGGTTGTTTTCGAGAAGTAATAGATTTGAGATATTAGTTTTAATATTTTATTCTTTTTCCCATAGGCATTTCATACATCTTTAGATTGTTAGTAATTTGCAGTATGGCCTTGTAAATATAATACAATAGTCAGAAAGTTCAAGGTTTTGCTGAGGAGGAAGGAAATACATAACTGATAAATGAAAGGGAAAACACATAAAAATATTAATGTTGTTTCAGCTCTTAATAAGCTGATGGCAATAGTGTGCTTACCTAATATTGTAATTTATCAGGGTGCTTGCATTTTTTATTTTTTTTATTTTTATTTTTTTGACAGGCAGAGTGGACAGTGAGAGAGAGAGACAGAGAGAAAGGTCTTCCTTTGCTGTTGGTTCACCCTCCAATGGCCGCCGCGGCCGGCGCGCTGCGACTAGCGCACCGTGCTGATCCGATGGCAGGAGCCAGGAGCCAGGTGCTTTTCCTGGTCTCCCATGGGGTGCAGGGCCCAAGCACCTGGGCCATCCTCCACTGCATTCCCGGGCCACAGCAGAGGGCTGGCCTGGAAGAGGGGCAACCGGGACAGAATCCGGCGCCCCGACCGGGACTAGAACCCGGTGTGCTGGCGCCGCTAGGCGGAGGATTAGCCTAGTGAGCCGCGGCACCGGCCCAGTGCTTGAATTTATTAAACACAAAGGTACTACAAAAAGTTCACGGAAATAGAATTAAAGTACAGCAGGTTAAGCTGCAGCCTGCAGTAACAGTTCAAATCCTGGCTGCTCTACTTCCAATCCTTCTATTAATGTGCCTGGGAAAGCAGTGGAAGATGCCCCAGAGGATTGGGTTCCTGCCAAGAGCTCCAGCTCCTGGCTTCTGCCTGGGCCAGCCCAAACTGTTGTGACCATTGGGGAGTGAGCCAACAGATAGAAAATGTCTCTCCCTTTCTTTCTGTTACTCTGTCTTTCAAATAAATACATAAATCTTTAAAAAGAGGTAAGTTAAAAAAAGAATGAGCCATGCATACAAGGAGTGTTTGAAACATTCACAGAAAATAAATAGAACAAAATAATTAATGATGGATTTCAAAAATTTTTTGAACTTCTAAAATAATGTAGTTATTTTAACACCAACTCATTACCTTGGCATGTAGTTGGCAGGCCATAATATACAGTCAATCTAAATAAAAACCATCATTACCTTTTTAAAGTAAATAATTATTAAAGTAAAATACATTTTTCTAAGAATTTACATTTTAGTATATGCTTATTTCTGCATATGCTGAGTTAATAAATGGCATTATCTGAAATCTGATCCTTTCAAACATTATACTTAATCACCATTCATAGAAAAATAACAATGATCACTTATGTTTAAGGCACAAATCTAGGCAATAATTGAAACGGTTCTTAAAACATGGTGCCCACACTCAATAAGATTGTAAATATACATGATTTATACTAAAGTACAATATTTATTTGTTAAGTTCAATAAAAACAAATTTAATTTCTAGTCAAGAACAATATTCTCAATGGTCACAAATTAAAGCCCAATTTATACAACTATAATAAGAGATCATATAAATGTTCCTCTCATTATTTCAAACAGTAAAAAAGGCTTAAATTTGTACCTATCTACCACGTGATTTTTTCCCTACACGCCTTCAACATCATCAGCCAGTGTGTGTGAGTTGGGAGAGACTGCCTTTTCCTTACTCTCTGCTAAAACATTTTGTCTACCTTTATTGTGCCATTTGTTTGGTGTTTCCTGTTAACTTACTGAACCATATGACATTCTTTGTTCTTTTCATGAAAGTGTAATGTTTCGGACAACTCAGATTTCCACACTTCTTTTTTTGGAAAAAAAGTATATACTCAGAAAATTTTCATGAATGAACTACAAGTGTATAATCATTGATTTGTATGTAAAACACATGTATAAGAATATATAGATTTGGGGCCAGTGCTGTGGCATAGCGGGTAAAGCCACTGCCTGCAGTGCCAGCATCCTATAGGGACGCCAGTTTGAGATCCCGCTGCTCCACTTTGATCCAGCTCTCTGCAATGGCCTGGGAAAGCAATAGCGGATAGCCTAAGTCCTTGGGCCCCTGCACACACGTGGGAGACCCAGAGGAAGCTCTTGGCTCCTTGCATCAGATCAGCGAAGCTCCAGTCATTGCAGCCATTTAGGGAGTGAACCAACAGATGGAAGACCTCTCTCTCTCTCCTCTCCTCTCTCTGTGCAGCTCTTTCAAATAAATAAATATTTTTTTTAAAAAATGAATATATAGATTCTTAGTTAAATGTAAATACAATGCTGCTAAGAAATCTCCCATACGAAAAATATTAACATAAAGAAAAGATATTCTATTTTTTTTTTTTTTTGACAGGCAGAGTGGACAGTGAGAGAGAGACAGAGAAAAAGGTCTTCCTTTTGCTGTTGGTTCACCCTCCAATGGCCGCTGCGGCTGGCGCACTGCGCTGATCCGATGGCAGGAGCCAGGTGCTTCTCCTGGTCTCCCATGGGGTGCAGGGTCCAAGCACTTGGGCCATCCTCCACTGCACTCCCTGGCCACAGCAGAGAGCTGGCCTGGAAGAGGGGCAACCGGGACAGAATCTGGCACCCCGACCGGGACTAGAACCCGGTGTGCCGGCGCCGCAAGGTGGAGGATTAGCCTAGTGAGCCGCGGTGCCGGCCAAAAAGATATTCTATCATTTGGCACCGATCTCTGGCAAGTTTGCTTGCTGTGGAAAATGTAGGAACAAAGAAAATAAAAAGAAATGTACCCTCAGGCCGGCACTGTGGCTCACTAGGCTAATCCTCTGCCTGCGGCGCCGGCACCCTTGGTTCTAGTCCTGGTTGGGGCGTCGGGTACTAGTCCCAGTTGCTCCTCTTCCAGTCCAGCTCTCTGCTGTGGCCCGGATGGGCAGTGGAGGATGGCCCAAGTGCTTGGGCTCCTGCACCAGCATGTGAGACCAGGAGGAAGCACCTGGCTCCTGGCTTCAGATCGGCGTGGCTCCGGCTGTAGCAGCCATTTGGGAAGTGAACCAGCGGAAGGAAGACCTTTCTCTGTCTCTCTCTCTCTCACTGTCTAGCTCTACCTGTCAAAAATAAAGAAAGAAAGAAAGAAAAATAAAGAAAAATTTTTTAAAAATGAAATGTACCCTCAATTACTTGGGACAATCTTGTAAAAAAAAATTCTGGATATAAAACACCAGAAAAATATAAACAGGATTAATGAAATTAATGGGCACAATGAAGAAATTTTCTAATTCTTACATACAATCAATAGAAATCACATTTACTTGCTAAATTATGTTTAAACAGGTAAAAAATTCACAAAGCTCATATAAGTTCAAAAACCTTGTTGCTAAAGCAGGGAAACAGAATAGTTAAGAGTATACAATTTTGAAAAAAGAAAATTTGAAAATTTTCATCTTATACTGAGTGTCATACAGGATATATTCTTTTACTTGTCGAATTAGCGTTTTATTTTCCAATTGCAATGTCCACTGCTGACAAGGATGCAATGGAATGAACT